AAACTAGACTTAAGCCAAAAGCAACATATAAAATCAACATTTTAAAACAAATTCTCCAATATCTTCGCTTCGGATAACGTTTTTACCAAGTAATTGCAAATTTTATGTAAAATAATTGTTCTGAGTACATCGGTCTTCTATTTAGCCCTTAATAACTTCTTTAATTGCATACATAACATATTGGAGCCTTCACTTCTAACCATTTCTGAATATGTCATATTTTTTTTATAAGGTGGTCACCAAAAAAGTAAAATTACCTTTAGGATCGTTAAAGAACAAACTTTTCACCACTCACTTTTCACTCTACTCCACTAAATTCAAAATTTGTTTTACAAATTCGATGAACTAAGCACTACAGGTGTGGACAACCGTAAACACCATATGATCTCTCTATACATACAAACAAAAGCGAATCCTAGACTTTTTTTGATGTGGATGTTAACATCAAAAAAAAAAAACTCTTTTATAATAACCGTTATTTTGAATATGCAAATATTTGAGCATCAGAAAAACATACCCATTTTTCGAAAATAGACCCATGGTTCCTTTTGAGAATATGCATAAATGATTTTCTGAGTCGATTTATGCATGTACGTCTCTTGTATGTACTATAGTTTCGGATCACGCCTCATCAGTTCCCTTAGTTTTTTGTTGGGATATTCTCTTGATAAGATTACAACGTTGTGTCGATTTAGCAATGACTGTCCGTCTGTATATTGAAATCTTTCCACCGAAGAAGCTGTAATTTGACATTCTGGGGTTTTGAAATTTTCAATAGAATCCATATAAAGGTCCGTTTAATTTTCGATGTTTCGGAGTTCCTAGCACTGTTTTCCAACCTGTCGTAAATAAAAGTAAATGTCACCAGGGCATAAACACCCTACTAGGATACAATTTTCTTAACGACGTTATTATTTTTGCAGACAATGGTCTCGATTCATTTTCGGTTTTTTGATATTTTAATTCGGCATTCAATAGCCTACATATAAAGTTCTTGTTTAATTTTCGTTATGTCAGAATTCCTAGTACCGTTTTCACCTGTCATTAATTTGTAGGACATAAACGATCCATAGGATGAGGATATACTCAGAATCGCATCGGTTTTGATTTATATATGGGAAATATATTTTGAAATAAAAATGGTACATAAAAATGTTATGTCTTTGCAATCGGCACAAAATTTTCCATAGACGAAATAAGTCTGAAATTAATCTAAGGGGGAACCCCATTATCGAGTTCAAAAAGAGTATTTTAGTTATTTAATTCGAACCTATAATAAGTCAAGAATACCACTTTAAAATTTCAAGTGTACATCTCAACAACTCTTGAAGATATAGCCGATTTATTGGGTCAGCATCAAGCGAAGGCTGAAGTGCGTTTTCACAATCCGTTCCAAATTTTAACATGATAAATGCTCTGAAATTCTAGCTCTGAAATTCTCCAAAAATAAATATTAATTCAAATACCGTAAACAATTGTTTGAAATCGAACGTTTCAGTAGTCGGAAATCTTGCCCGCCATTAAAATGAAGGAATTTTCGTTGACAACAAAAAATAAATATACATATAACAACAAAATTATGTCAATTCATTTTCTTTAAATACATACATATATGCATAGTTACAAGTCTTCAATATAATGAACATTCATTTGCAAGCCCTTCGAAAATCGGCTTCATCCAATTGGTCTTTAATCTTTTCAGATATGAATATGACTTCCATTTGTATTTTTTTTGATTTCACGTAAATGATGTACCAAAAAGATAAATTATTAAACAATTCAAGTTTAAATATCAGATTTAGAACGATCCATGTTTTTATACATGGTATTATGTCTTTGTGCGTATGTTTGTAACAGGCAAAAGGAAACGAGATAGACACATGGTTCCTTTTGATAATATGCATAGAATCACTTTTTAAGTCAATTTATGCATGTCCGTCCGTCCGTCCGTCTGTCGGTCCATGTTAAATTGTAAACAAAGTACAGGTCGCAGTTATGATCCGAATTGGATGAAATTTGGCATATGTCACTTATTTGGCCCAAGGACGAACCCTATTGAAATTGGGAAAATCGGTTCAGATTAGATATAGCTCCCATATATATATTTATCCGATTTAATGTTAACGGTCCCTATATATCTTTCGATTTACACGAAATTTGGTACAGCCTAGTCATTTAGGTCTAGACTGATGTCTGCCAAGTTTTCGTGAAAATCGGTCCAGATTTAGATATAGCTCCCATATATAGTTTCGTCCGATTTCATGTAAATGGTGCCCTAAAGTCCCCATATATCTTTCGATTTGCACGAAATTTGGCATATCGTACTGAATTAAGCCTACAGTGATGTCTGCCAAGTTTCGAGAAAATCGGTCCAGATTTAGATATAACTCCCATATATAGTTTCGTCCGATTTAATGTAAATGGTGCCCCAAAGTCCCTATATATCTTCCGATTTACACGAAATTTGGCATAACGTACTGAATTGAGCCTAGAGTGATGTCTGCCAAGTTTCGTGAAAATCGGTCCTGATTTAGATATAGCTCCCATATATAGTTTCGTCCGATTTCATATAAATGGTGCACCAAAGTCCCTATATATCCTTCGATTTGCAATTTGGCATAGCGTACTGAATTGAGCCTAGAGTGATGTCTGCCAAGTTTCGAGAAAATCGGTCCAGATTTCTATATAGCTCCCATATATAGTTTCGTCCGATATCATGTAAATGGTACACCAAAGTCGCTATATATCTTTCGATTTGCACGAAATTTGGCATAACGTACTGAATTGAGCCTAGAGTGATGTCTGCCTTGTTTCGTGAAAATCGGTCCAGATTCAGATATAGCTCCCTTTTATTATAGATTTATTTTAAGTAATTGACGCACCAAGGAAGCAATATGCTGATAGGAACAAAACGTTCTGAAATTAGTATAACCTAACCTGTGACAAGTCCTGTTTAATATACCCATAGTGGTAAAGGGTATCATATAGTCGGCCCCGTCCGACTTTACTACTTTCCTTACTGTTTTTTTTTTAATTTTCTGAAAATTTACAAAATTAAAAGTTTGTAGGTTTCTGAATTTGTTTAATTTACGAAATTTATTTTAATAAACTAATGTTTTATAATCAGCCTTTTTAGCAATTATCATAATTAGAAAATGTGTAATAATTTTATCATTTAAAATTCAATTATCATATTTTTTAACATACATCTTGTTTTGAGTCGTGTAGTCGCACGTGTTACCCTGTGCAATTTATACAATTCTTATATAAAATTAAAGCATACTTTCAGGCATGCATTATGATATATTATTTAGAAGGTACATAAAATTGCAATATAACTTCAATAGATGGCGTTAATGAGTTTTATTCTCATATATCGTAACAATAGGAATTTTATTTACGACTAATAACGTTTCGATACTAACTAAGCGTAACCGTACTGTACGGCGTACACCTAGTTAGGTAGGTAGGAAATATTCCTACAAAAAAGTATTATTGGTTCATGGTATAGCTCCTATAAATCCTAGCAAATTTGGGTATTTTGATTTTTGGTATTGGATTGATTTGATTTGTATTTATTGAGACTTCATTCATTTCATTAAGGACATGGTATTAACAATAAATATCAGGGACACTTAAAACTATCATGTATTATTCTAATATCATTACATAAAATGGGGATGCTACATGCTTAAACATTCTTTAGATTTGTAATTGTAATTAACAAATAATTTGAAAATGAGATAAATAGTGTTTGCTCCCGACACTTGCTGTAGCGAATAGAGTTTTATCTATATTTTGATGTGTACTTATAACTAGGACTTACAACTACAAAAAAACCAAAACAAAACAATTAAACTAAAATTATATATACTTAAAGTACATAAAAAAACTACCCCCTATGTGTTCCAGGTGTAGAGTAAGAATAAAAGTTTTGGTCAGATGAATTAGACCCTCCTCCATTAAAATTCCATTTAAAATTCAATTATCATATTTTTTTAACATACAGCTTGTTTTGGGTTGTGTAGTTTTTACGTCGCAACGTGTTACCCTGTGAAATTTATACAATTCTTATATAAAATTAAAGCATACTTTCAGGCGTGCATTACGATATAATTATTTAGAAGTACTGTAAATACAGTAAATTGCAATATAACTTCAATAGATGGCGCTAATCTATTTTATTCTCAAATATCGTAAACCTAGTTAGATCAATGGTATAGCTCCTATAAATCCTAGCAAATTTGGGTATTTTGAAGAAGTTCGGACAAAGTTTTCAAATAAATGGGCTTTGTTTTTATATTTTAGGTTCTGTGGAAAATCTCCTTACCGCACCATTCGGTATTTTTGGGATTATGGGCACGCTTCTCATCCTTTTTGACACGTTCTCATTGTGTGACAAGTCTTCCGACTAAAAATGGTCAATATTGGACAATGGTACCCGCAATATTCGATATTTTAAAGATTTCAGACATGTTTTTCAACTGAGTTGACTATATTTCGATATTGTAAGTTTTCGTTGGGTTGAAAAAAAAAATATATATATATATATATATATATATATATAAATCAGTCGATTTTTAGGTATAGCCCCCATATAAATGAATCAGAGAATCATGATGGTGGATGTAAACAATTCGGTCTGGAGGGCACTTTTTACTATTCATAGGAAGTCCTTTTTATACATAATTTTTATTTGTATATATCATCAGCAGATATTAAGTAATATTTTTAAAGTTCATTAACTTTGTGGTGGCACGTTTTTAACATGGATAAAAATTCAATAGGAAGACAATCAATTATTGAACATATGGTGAGCATTTATATAAAACAGTTGTTCGAACCGAAACATGCGTTTAGTTGAATTATTGGCCTACACCAGACAAAATTATTTTTGAAATCGAAAAAAAAAAATAATTTTAACAATAATGAAATTTCCATTAAAAATATCAGTTACACTATTACTAATTTTATTTGTTATTAACTTTCATGGCATATCAATGCAAAGTTGGCATACCTGTCAGGAGATTGTGATACAACGCCGCGTCGATGGTTCAGAGAATTTCTATCGTCCCTGGTTGGATTATAAGCGTGGTTTTGGCAATCGGAGTAGAGAATTTTTCATTGGTTTGGACACCATAAATTACTTAACCAACAATCGTCCTAATCAGTTGTTGGTCGTAATGGAAGATTGGCAGGGTGATCGACGTTATGCTCACTATGATTCAATTATTGTGGGAAACGAAGCGGAGAATTATAGATTGAAACAATTGGGTAAATATAGCGGATCGGCGGGAGATTCATTAACCTATTCATTGGGGTACAATTTCACCACCCACGATCGTGACAATGACATAGCTGTAGAAAATTGTGCTGTTCGCTATACGGGTGCCTGGTGGTACAGAGATTGTCATCAAGCGTAAGTTTGGGGATATTCTGTGTAAATATATAATAGTAAATAATTGTATTAATTAATTTATATTTTAGCAATCCCAATGGTCTCTATGGAAATTTAGAATTTGGCAAAGGCATTAACTGGTTAACATTTAGGGGCTGGAATTACTCTTTGAAATCGATTGAACTTATTTTGAGATTCAATTGTGGTTGCTGATGTTTCGCAGATGTCTGTCGTTTTTTACTAAATGTTAGACATACTTAAGTTGGAATTTTTTGATACATCAGATGGTTCCTAGAATACGGAATAAATGATTTTTCTAACAGTATAGACAATTTATTTTTTAGAAAAAATGATTAGACACGAACGGATTATGTGATGTACTATGAGGATGCGAAATATACTAAAAGGTAATAACTTTGATAATCAACGCCACACAAAACGGCTGAAGGTAGAATCCCAAAAATTTGTGTGAGGGTTAGTAACATCACATAGGTGTGTGAAAATTGCACTAAAAGGGTACGAAAGGTACTAAAATGAAGTAGCCAATAATTAACGCCCAAAAGAAAGTGCTGAAGTTAAAATGCGAAAATTTTGTATGTGGGTCAGTACGATTATTGGTTCGAATGTGTTTGATAATGCTGGGTTAGTGGAAATTCGTACCATAAATAAAGCATTAAATTATTCGAAGAGTTCTAAATCGAAGAGCCAAGGAGTTTATAAATTGACGAACAGAAAGACTAAAGAATATGATATTGAAACTTTGAAAACATTTGAGGGGTCTTCTATATAAATTAAAACCCGTTGTGAAATCTTCTACAGGGAGAAGTTCCTTGGGAGGCGACTTTAAGATAAGCCTCATATGAGGTCCAGTATAGATTGTACACACTTGGGAACTCTTTTGTAGAGAGGTCTTCGTTGTAAAGAAGTCCATTACAGATCTTCTTTAAAGGGATGACCTTCATAGAAGGTCCTTATATAGATGAAAGATCCCTTTAAAATCGTCTATATATTCAGATAATTCTTGGGACAGAGAATATCCCATTTTAGAGAAATAATTGGCCTAGGAGGTATTCTATAGAAAGTATAATTGTGAAAAACTATGGACCCGATATTCACCGTCGATGCAGATCGGCCCGTAGATCTTTCGGAGAACTTTTCTCTCAAATACTCCAAAAGCCACCTAATGTTGGACTCATTATGTCGATGTCATAGGCGTAGTAGGCGATTAATATGTGTTTCGCACAGAGTGCCATTTCTGTTTTCGTATGCCTTTTTTCTGCAGAATGTTGAAAAGATCACATGAGAAGCTGTCACCTTTTCTGAACGCTTGTTCGGTATTGAATGGCCTTTTCGATTGACCTTGTGCCAATTAATTTTATCCTACATAGCCGTATTAATTTTGCAGAAATGCAAACATGGCTTTAAACACCTCTGAACGGATAGGGCTTTCGAAGGAGGCTTTATAGTCGAAGAATATGTGGAATGTGTCGATATGTTTTCCAGGATTTGGCTCAGTGTGAATACCTGGTCTATGGTGGATAATAATCATTGACCATTGCTTTCAGTCGTTCACACAGCACGCTACATATATGCGATGGGAAGGAGACTAATTCCTCTATAATTGGTACATATCGTCTTCACTTTTTTGTGTACGGGACACGGGATGCTGTACCAAATTTTACTAATAAGCTGGTGTATGCTCCCGACACGCATCTGATCACCGGACTTGAAAAGTTCGGCTGGTAACTCATCGGCACTTGCTGCTATATTATTCTTCAGACGATTGCTATACTGACCTCAACGTGGCTGGGTGGTGTGCACTCTATACCATAATTTCTTATTGGTTTTGGGGTAACTTCTCCCATTTGATATTTTCATCACTATTTGGTACCAGAAGCTTTCCAAAATACTCCTTCCAGATCCTCAACACGACATCTGTCTCCATCTTTATCTCTACTGGAGGATGTGGCTTCACCTATCTCCTTTTCTCCTAAATAGCATTACGAGTCGTAATGCTACTAAGGTGAAAAACGTCGTCGTCTTTTACGACACTCCTGATCATACCATGGGTTTCTTGATATTGGTTTTTGGTACTCAAGTGTTGCTTTTGCTGCAGTTTGTAGGGTGTGGGCAATTCTTTGACATTGTGCTTCTATATTATTATCGGGACAAGTAGTGTTTTCGTCAAGCAGATGAGTAAATACTCATAGAGCGGAGTAGGCTTCTGCTATCTGTGGTGTTTGCAGGTTTTCGACGTCGAGTTTCGAAGTGCCGAGTGCGATCCTTGGCTTCTGCAAGGAATGGCCCGAATTCATATTCGCTCCTCGGATCGATTGAACGTCTAAAACGCTGGATGAATGCCTTCCGCCTATCACAACATGTTAATTTTGATTTTCGCCGTTTGATCGGAAGAAAGCCAGGTAGCCTTGTGTATATCGAGATAATTGAATCTGGTGCTGCTAACTACAATGTTTTCTGCTCCCGCGAAGTCAATCAACCTCATGCCTTTGTTGGACACATTTTCATTGAGACTTAATTTTGGGGCCAAATAAATATATTTCCCCTTCCGATTTTTGCATTAAAATCTCCTTGCAGAATTTTAATATCATGGCCAGGCCAGCGGTCATATGCTGTTTCTAAGCGCTCGTAAAATATGATTGAGGTCTGCTCATCTTTGTCTTCGGTCGTAGCATGGGCGCAAATGAGACTGATGTAGAATCGTAGATCGTGGACCTTCATACGTTTGAGGGGGTCGTCAACATTTTCGTTGCTTTTTCATAGTAGGCGGTGTTTTCCGAGTGTGGACAAGTAACCCGACGCATCAATGCATTTTTTTATAGTTCTCATGGGTGAACTTGCGGCACATATAAGCTCACAATTTCAGCGGGTGTTGCAAGTAGCTACCCCAGGTGACAATATACGCCTGGGTTAAATATATATATACATAATCTCCAGATATTATATCAAAAAAAAAAGTTCACTAACCTTGCTATGGCACGTTTTTAACATGGATTAAAAGTAATTCAATCGGAAGATATATGCTTATTGAACAGATGTTGCGTTTCCATATAAAAACAGTTGTGCGAACAGAAAATGTGTTTAGTCGAATTATTGGCCTGCACCATAAAACTAATATTTAAGAAAATCAGAAAGAAAGAAATTTCAATTATAATGAAATGTCCATTAAAAATATCAATTACACTACTAATCGTTTTATTTGTAATTAATTTCCATGGCATATCAATGCAAAGTTGGCATACCTGTCAGGAGATTGTGATACAACGGCGCATAGATGGTTCAGAGAATTTCTATCGTCCTTGGATGGATTATAAACGTGGTTTTGGCAATCGCAGTAGAGAATTTTTCATTGGTTTGGACACCATAAATTATTTAACCAACAGTCGTCCTAATCAGTTGTTGGTCGTAATGGAAGATTGGCAGGGTGATCGACGTTATGCCCACTATAGTCTAATAATTGTGGGTAACGAAGCGGAGAATTACAAATTGAAACAATTGGGCAATTATAGCGGATCAGCGGGAGATTCATTGACCTATTCATTGGGACAAAATTTCACCACCCATGATCGTGACAACGATATATGGGTGGAAAATTGTGCTGTTCGCTATACGGGTGCCTGGTGGCACAGAGATTGTCATCAAACGTAAATTTTGAGAGCTATGATTAAATAATTAATAATAATTAATTAAATAATTTATGAATTTCCCTATTTTGTAGCAATCCTAATGGACTCTATGGAAATAATGAATTTGGCAAAGGCATTAACTGGTTAACATTTAGGGGCTGGACTTACTCTTTGAAATCGATTGAACTTATTTTGAGATCCAATTGTGGTTGCTGAAGTTTTGTAGATGACTGCCGTGTTGATATACACTTTTTTATAAAATGGTTTTCAATAATTTAATAATAGAAATTTTATTTTTGTAAATAATAAAAACAAGCTTAGAAACGAACCTAAACCTCATGTTATTTCGAAAGAAGCGATAATGCAAAAACTATATAGCATACTTTTAGGAGTACAATTATTGGTATGATACGAGATAATAAAATATACGAAAACATTGGGACTTCGATCGAGACTTATATAATGGAGCCGCCATGAAAAAACGAAATACCACACTTCAGACATTCCAGGATAAGAAATTGGTCTAAACTACCGAAATTACCGCATCTGTTATATAGGGGTTATATGAAAACGTAAACTGATATGGATAATTTTTAGTACGAACATTTGACACCAAATAAGTAACCAAATTATAAAATTAGAGGAAATTTGGTTGAGGCACTATTATATGGGGGACTTCCCTAAAAAGTGGACCAATATTGAAAATTGCTGGTAGTATCACAGTATCAAATATCCTAAAACTATTATAAAATTTGCAAATTTCAAAACCCTATCGTGATTTCAAAAGACGGATAGAGCCAACATAGATTTTTATTATACCCTCATCTTTATGGCTAATAAGGGTACACACAGTTTGATACGGCAAAAGTTTGCTTCATCGAAATATTAATTTTAGACCCCATGATTCTGTGGACCAAATCCGTTTCAGACAATTTGGAGTCGATTTACAAAGGTCCGTCCGGATTAACCGATTTCAACCAAACTTTGAACATCGTAATATTTCTCCGAACTTAGTTCAAGTTCGAAGATGGGGTATATCGGTTCACTCCTTCTGGTACCTCCCCCAAAAATGGTCGAAATTGTGAAGAAAAATTAATTTTATAATATCTTTACCAAGCCTAAACCAAGTCCGAAGATGGTGCTCATTAGTTCACTCGGCACGAAAAGTACTAAATGGTGTACCAGTTGTCGAACCGGTCAAAAGGTTTTTTGGACATTCGAACTATAAAAGTACTAAAATGTACTAAATTTGGTACGGTTTCGTAGTATGTGAAAGGATAGAGCTAAAAGCTTGAAAATTGAAAAGCGAATTAAGGTCCAGAAGTAGAGTCTATATAAGGAGGTGGTTTTGAAAGCGTGTACTCATTTATACAAAAAGTAGTAAATTTTTTATAATTTGAATTTGGAAAAAGGGACGGAGCTGGAATCCTGAAATTTTAAATTAACATAACCGTCGGAGTGTTGCGATATGTATGATATGCGACATGTACGAAAAGTGCTAAAAGGGTACTCTATTTGGTACAATTTTGATTTTGGGTGAACCGATAGAGCTGGGTTCATGAAATTTGGAGTTAGGATCATTGCTGGGACGTAAGACTGCGATATGTAGGATGTTTCGGGAATTCAAACTAATGAGTAGTAAATTTGGTACAATTTAAATTTGGATTTAAATAGGATTGGGATATGTAGGATGTTTTGGAAATTTGGAACTAATGTGAATAAGATTACAGTTGGAAATAAGATTACAGTTGGAGTGTACGATTGAGGTATGGATGTGGTTTTGGAAATTCTTACAAATGGGTACTAAATTTTGCACAATTTGAATTTTGGGTGAACCGATAGAGCTGGGATCCTGAAATTTGGAGTTAGGATCAAATGCATACTAAAGTGTACTAAATTTATTAAAATTTGAAGCGGATCAACTCTAGTCTTATTCATATTTTAATTACTATAGTATAAACACATACGTTTTATTGATCATTTAAATACTAAAATGCAACTCTGTTTTAAACATTTGAAATTAACGGTTAACTATGTAAATATTTTGTAAATAGTACCAAAAACTACATCACTGATATTAATACCTTATCATACAACCAATACTAGACGAGGATCTTGCTTCTCATAGAGTCTAAACGCAACCATAGAGTCTAGAGTCAGCGACAGTCGTTTGCCGTGTGTTTCTTATAGGCAACGGGAAATCGCGACGGCTGACGTTCGCGTCTAGCGGCATGACGCTAGAATAGATTTTATTCATTTTTGCTCAGCGTCATACTCAAAATTTCTCTCTTGCTCTCAATTGAGTTGCCATATTTTAGGTAAAAATCAACAGTGCTACCAAATTTCAATGAGAATTTATATCAAAACATATGGCAGTACTGTTAAAAAAACAAATATTTTCAAAGATTGTGGATGTTTTTTAATGAATTATTAATAAAATGGAAGAAAAATAATTTTTTCAATAATTTTATCCAAATTCCTTGACATTATTGTTTATTAAATAATAAATTGGTTTTGGTTTGCACAACGTAAAATTTTCTGTCAGAAAATGTAAACAAATAATTGACATTTTGTGCCGCTAACGCTAACTCTTTCGTTTGGTTTTCACGCCGGCGAAAAAGTATGACGCTGACTCGTGACTCTCTGGTTGCGTTTAGACTCATAAGTAGTACTTAAGCTCAATTTAATTTAAATAAAATCAGCTACACTCCGAGTCCTGGGCCACCCGGCTCTAATTAGTTTAGCGAACACTGAAGGCTTCAGATCACTACCCACGCTTGCCCAAGTTGATGGACTAGATCATAAGCTGGAAATAGTTCCTAAACAAGGAGTAGCCAACATTATTGTAAATCTTGTTGTTTCGAGTTTCTTCACTTGCGCCCAACGGGGGGCAAGCCTCATTGAAACCCAATTCAAACAACTGATCCAGGCAATGCAGAATAACAACCGGACGGGTTCGTTTTCGCATTGTACTTGCGTTTTCGGGGGCAGAGAGATGCCGCATAAGTTGAAGAATTTGTGACATCGAGTCCATCTCAGACGCCGACGCAGTAAACGGGTTGCAGCTGTTATTGGAAGATTATGCAGTTCCGAGAAAATATGGTAGTTTGCAGAATCACTATGTACCATATCGTTTCCAGTTCTGTTCTAGGGGAGAACGCGAAGGCGTACTACGAGAACGCCATCTTCGTTACTGAATCAACACTCCAGCTCTACTTATCTTCTATCAGATTCCACAACCCTTTATTACTGATGCATCATCGGGACGATTTCAGCATCAGAGGGGGAGACTGAAGCGGATCAACTCTAGTCTTATTCATATTTTAATTACTATAGTATAAACACATACGTTTTATTGATCATTTAAATACTAAAATGCAACTCTGTTTTAAACATTTGAAATTAACGGTTAACTATGTAAATATGTTGTAAATAGTACCAAGCACTACATCACTGATATTAATACCTTATCATACAACCAATACTAGACGAGGATCTTGCTTCTCATAAGTAGTACTTAAGCTCAATTTAATTTCAATAAAATCAGCTACACTCCGAGTCCTGGACCACCCGGCTCTAATTCGTTTAAGCGAACACTGAAGGCGTAAGATCATTACCCACGCTTGCCCAAGTTGATGGACTAGATCATAAGCTGTGGAAGTAGTTCCTAAACAAGGAGTAGCCAACATTTTTGTAAATCTTGTTGTTTCGAGTTTCTTCACTTGCGCCCAACGGGGGTCAAGCCTCATTCAAACCCAAGGAGCTTTCTTTATTGGCGCCCAACGTGGGGCCATGAACTACTACCTATAAGTAAAAGCCGAGGACAACACTAACAAGTCAGACGGCCTTCTTTAAATTTGAATTTTGGGTAAACCGATAGAGCTGGAATCATGAAATTGGGAAATAAGACTTCCATTAGTTGTATGATAAGGTAGTTTTGAAAAGTTCGTAGGAAGTTTTGGAAGTTTGTACTAATGTGTACTAAATGGTACCAAATTTGGATTTGGGTGAACCGATAGGACTGGAATCTTGAAATTTGAAGTTAGGATCACTGTTGGATTGGGCTATGTAGGTTTTAAGTTTTGGCAATTTATACTAATATGTTCTAAATTGTACTAAATTTGGTACCATTATATTTGACTGAAGCGATCGTGCAGGAATCCTGAAATTGGGAAAAACTAAATTTGGTAAAATTAAGATTTCTATGATCCAATAGAGTTCGAATCATTAAATTTGGAATTAGTTTTGGAAAAAAGCACTACAAGAGTACGAAAGGATAAATGTTACCAAAATTAGTATAGAGCTAGATTTGTGTTACGATGTGAATTGGTGTGTAGTTTTGGATAGATATGGAGGTAGTTTTGGAAGTACGTGCTATAAGATAACAAAAGAACTACTAAAAAAGAACTATTCTAGATAATTAAATAAACATTATAAAAATTGAAAACCCCTCATATGAGGAGCACTGACCTAGGGTATAGGAACTCACTTGCCTAATCTGATTACAAATTTTATTATTAACCACAGAACACATGTCTATGGGGTCATAAAGACTTATCTTTACAGTTCACCACCCTAATGTTTGTGGCACGTTTTCTTCGCCATCGGAAGATAAACAGTTATAAACGAAATTTCGAAATACTCAAAGTGTTGTTGGGTATAAAAACATCTACTTGGCATAGAAAATACATTGAGTTTCAATAATTCCTTCAACGGAAACCAAACAACAACACTCCAAAATAAAAAACTCTTAACATGGAACCATCTGCAAAATCAACACCAACAATTTGTTTGTTGTTATTGCTTTTGAGCGGTTTTAAAGGCATATATATGCAATCCTGCCAACAGGATTGCCAGCAAACGGTTATACAAAGACGTATCGATGGTTCGGTCGATTTCTATCGTCCGTGGTCGGATTATAAAGTTGGCTTCGGTGATCCTTCTAAGGAGTTTTTCCTTGGTTTGGATGAAATAAATCGTCTCACAAATAGTTGTCCCACTCAGTTGCTAATTGTCATGGACGATTGGGAGGGTAATCGACGTTATGCCCATTATGATGGAATTATTGTGGGCTCTGAAGGTGAGAATTATAACCTCAAACAATTGGGTAAGTATACCGGATCGGCTGGCGATTCAATGACATTTTCGTTGGGACAAAATTTCACAACATACGATCGTGACAATGATGTGTGGTCGGGTAATTGTGCGGTGCGTTATACGGGTGCGTTTTGGTATAAGGATTGTCATCAAACGTAAGTTTGTGTGTGTTTTATGTTTTTTTTAAGATTTCATTAAATATGAAAAATATTAATATTCCCTAAGGAATCCCAATGGCCTCTATGGAAGTAATGAGTTCGGCAAAGGCATTATCTGGTTAACTTTCAAGGGCTATAGCTACTCCTTGAAATCGATAGAACTTTCACTGATACCCAACTGTGGCTGTTGTTTTAAACGTTAAGTGTAAGGAGATACTTTATGTAAAATTATATGTATATTTGCAATAAATTTTTATTATACTCTGTGATTTTTTTAAATTAATTAATAAATAGTTTTGATATATTAATAAATAATGTTTATATATTACATAATTTATTTATATAAAATAATTTTTCTAAAATACCCTTTTCAATATAATCAGTACAGATAAATACAATCTACAATTATATATACAGAAATATCGGACGTTACCATTGGAACTACATTAAAATTGGAATAGGTCCATATACTTCTGCAAGAACCCATTGTCATTTAATGAACATTTTCTGTGGGGGAAAATTGTTTATGTCAAAACACTTATACGGAACTTTTTTTATAAGAAAGCTTGGCCTGGACCTAGATAACCAGAATGGCATTTATAGTACTAGAACCCGATTTCGCTTTCATATGAAACCCCAAACATTTAAAATTATATTATTAGAACCTATTTTAATTTTTTTTTAAATTGTGTGCACCATTAGCGAATGAGTGTAGGTCAGTATCCACATGAATAATATTATTCAAAATATTTTTGAAATATATCAAATTGTGTTTTTTACAATCTTCTACCTCGTCAGACGAAACATATTTACAACCAGAAACATTAGATAAGGTGAAGCTCATTTCCGCACCGGTGACAAAATTTAATTTTAAATTCATTATCAGTATAATTAAGTGTTTCAAATGAATTACAGTGATCAAATGGGGAATTTTCATAATTTGCAAATCTTTTACAGACATTCTACATTTTATCATTCCATTTTTTTATTCAAACATACAATATTTTATAAAATGTTATATGTATGCCGAAAGGGAATAAAAAATAATAACATTTCATATTATATATTTCATACTATAATTCTGAATTCCATCTCTTTTCCTACATCTAATATCAAATTTATTATCATCTAGTACACTTCAAACACATAAACACTAATTTACGAAAACTCTTTCTTATTTCCATTACACAGATTCAAAAGTAAACAGAATTCCAGTTATATATTTTAGCAAATACCTACAGGTTCCACATTTAGTTCCATTCAGCATTTTTCGATCGCATAAGTACACATTTTCAAGAATACCTCTATACCACCACCACTAAATTTAGTACCACAAACCACATTCCAAATTTTAGGTTTTTAGCTCTCTCCGTCACCCAAATCCGAGTAGTTCTACATTTGGTGCAGTTAGTACTATTAGTACACATAAATGCGGATTTCCAAAGTTGTCCCCATAGCTCAACCCTACACTTCAGCAGTAATCTAAATTCCAACTCTCTCTATTCACTCAAATTCAAATTGTACCAAATTTAGTACTATTGAGTACTTCTCAACGTTAAGGATTCGAGTTCTATCCGTTTATCAAAGTATAAATTGTCCTAAATTTAGTGCTTAAGTATGAATTTCCAAAACTACTTCAGTCATGACGTCCAATAATAACCTTAAGTCCACATTTAGGGATTCCAGCTCCATCCGTTCACACAGAAACAAATGGTATCATAGTTTAGTACACATAAGTACACATTTCAGGATTCCAACTCTATCCTATCACCAACATGCAAATTGTTCCAAATGTAGTACTATTTCGCTTCTTCCGTACCATATAGGTAAAAAATTTCCTTTCACACAATATCAAATTGTATCAAATTTAGTAGCATTTAGTATACGTAAGTACGATGCCTTCATATCCCAATTCAACAAATGTTAGGTTTCCAGGTCTCTCCGTTCACTGTTCGTACCTCAATCCTACACTGTTGGTATTTTAATTCCCAATTTGAGGACTTCAGCTCTAAGTCGGCTCGAAGATACTAGGCTAGCTGCTGTCAGTTCGTTGGAGATCGGCTGGCTACAATCGGCTCGAAGATATTCGGCTCCTTGGTGATCGCCTGGCTACAGTCGTCTCGATGTTACTCGTCTAGCTGATGTCGGCTCGTTGTTGGTCTGATGGTTCGGGTTTGTCAGGGTTCGGTTATTTCTTAGTGTGGAGCTGGCTATGAGCGAGGAGCTGGCAAAGAGCGAGGCCGAAATGTTGTTAACATTTACCAGTATACGAGACTGCGGTAGAGCTGTAAAAAAATCGATGGCAATATCGATAGTATCGATTCTTATTTTAAAATTGAATATCGATTGATAGTTTTGGCTATCGATATTATCGGACAAAATAACAATAACAATAACAGGTTATGTTTTGCCAATACGCCAATATAATTTGCGCGCCTTTTCGACTTTGTGTTTGTGAAAAAGGGGTATTGTAAAATACGTATTTTTGACAAAAAATAAGTTTAATAAATATGTAGTTATAATACTGTCGACAGTAAATACGCATTGACCCTTAAAAGTATTATCCAAAACCGAACATTATAAATTTTCTTAGAAGCACGTACATTTTTCAGAAGCGCGAAAAAATTCCAAATTCCAACAATATTAAAACCACTGACTGTGGTTCTCTTTGAAGCAGGGGTAGCTGATATTTACTTTCATATACCATTCCACGTATGTATTAAGATGAATTATGTGATTTATTTTCAGGTGAGATTTGCGACACAATCAAATGTTCAAAATCAAGAAAATGTCTACAATGTGGTACAAAAATTATTAATATCATTGCTTTAACTAAAGTCAAAAATATACATACATACCTTCCATTTTGTGTTTGTCGATTCGGCATTTGCTTTTTGAATCAATGGTGCTGCTCCTTTGTGGTTTTATTAATAAATTGTTTCTTTTTTATATGTTGTTTGTTTCTTCTTTATATTTCTGCAATATTTCAACAGACACATAATCTGTCATTTTCATTCCCAAATAGTGGTGGAAAATAATCGATAATATCGATAGTTTGAAATGAAATATCGGAACTATCTAATGTTTGGAATATCTATGTTTTACAGCTCTAGAATGCGGACGAGCCACACATCTTATTCACCCGTAGTTCGTTAACGTCCGAGATCGACCCCTTCGGCATGGAAAAATTGAACATATGTCCGTATGGTACTTCGAAGTGAATGAGAATTATTGTGTACTTCAAGAAAAGTGTCTGTCGATTAATGCATTGAAGTTGAAGAACACAGCTAATGATGCCGGCTTAGGTTTACTGTTAGACGTTATTTACTACTAACATTAACGTGGGTAGTGACATTAACATAACATAATGTATGAAACGGTCACGTTACCGGATCAATTTTGCTAGTAATTTTGTATTGCGAATCGTCACATGAAAAAGGTTTCCATAAAGTCAGCTCTTTTGTATGAACTAGCTCATACTTTTAGTTTAGTGATACAATCGTTCAAATTAAGCTCTATTATTCAGCTGGCATTTTAGTTCGGTCGTTCGTTTAATAGTTCATTGCTCTCCGAATCGCTCAGTAGATATTTTGCGTTCTTTGAAGATTATGTTTTTTATTAAAAATTTATTTTTTTTTTATTTATTGGATTGTCATACACTTTTATGGACCTGTATGGTGAGTTATGGACCTATAAGATATGGATTTTTAAAGAATGCTTCACAAGAATTGATGAAACTATAAGGCGTGAATTAAAAAAAAATGTTTTAGAAGAATTTGTGGACCTATAAACCATGTATTTGAAAAGGAAAGCTTCTGATGTATTTAAAAATTACTTGCTTTTAATCACACAAAATACTAAAAAAAATAAAAGCCTTCATGGTTTGCCAACATAAAATATTGACAACATATTTAGACCCTACCCAACTGTGTTGTCAGGATATTATAGTAGTTTTGACTTACCTGCTCAAACAACACTTGAAATTATTTCAGTGCAGGAAAGTCAAAAGTGCAGATATCTTAAATTACTTATCTGCCTCAACTTGCATGTAAATGAAATCAATGCATAAAAATGGGAAAATGTTGGATGGGACAATTCACAATCAACGCTAAGTATCTTTAGTTTACCGATCGTCATATCACGACTAGCTAGGTCGATCTAGACATGTGTAACATCGGCAGCAGTTATGAACTAATCGTCCGAAATTTTGCATGTGGGATAGTTTCTACCCAATGAAGGCCCCTATTGTTTTTGGTAACGATCGGTTAATATTTAGGGACTGAAATGGACCAAAAACCTTATTTTTGTCGGTTTTTAAGCGTGACTTTTTTGACGCTGTTTTGGTATTCTGTAACACTCATCCGACGATGTCGACTATTTATCGATAATATTAATAAAATTGTGCTCAGCTGTTTATTTTGTTTGTGCAAAAATGTGTTTGTATCCTTGGCCGCACTGCGGCAAGGGCATTATGTCTTGGACATCCAAAAGGAAACGAGATAGATCCATAGGTACTTTTTAGTATATACATAGAATTACTTTTTAAGTCGATTTATGCATATACGCTCAATCCATGTATTATTTTAAACAGGTTACATGCCACCTTTCCGAATGGGAAATTTGGAAAATTCCGCGACTCCTATTGATATTGGTCAAAATCGGTTCAGATTTATATATAGATCCCATATATTTTTCTTTGTTTATTTACACCCAATTTTGCATTACGTATTGAATAGATTCTAGAATGATGTATCCTGTTCCTGTACAGTCATGTTTTGTTTTAATTTTTAAAAAAAAATCGTTCAAACACTTCATTCGTCAATAAATAAATCTTCGACATCGTCTTCGTCACATTTTGTTATGGAATACCAAAAATGTTTCAATAGTTATCGAAAAACGTCGACAACGACATAGGGAATACCAATTTGCAAAAGACGACTCTCTACGACGTCGTTTCCTGCAGACGACAACATACGGAATAGGGGTGATTTTTTGTATTACTATTATGCAATGATGGGCAAAATTTCTCTTAAAAAATGTTTAAGGGAAAATAAAAACATGAATTATTCTTCGGAATTTATTAAATTCAATATTTTTAAAGCATAATTAATATCCAAGGACGTTCAAAAAACAAATTCATTAAAAAAATTTCGGAAAAAAGTCCATTAATGTTTATTTTTGTTTCATCATCAAAAAATGTAAAGAGAACCCATCAACGCTGGTGTGCAAGTCTGCCCAACTATGCCATTATGAAATGTCACGCCAATCGCTTTGAAATTTTACAAGAATTTCCGGTTATGGTCAAGGACGACGTCTATAATTTTCGGTGATGTTTAGATGTTATTTAAGATTGCAAGGAACAGAAGATTGTATTTTTGTCAGATTTTCTAATCGCTCTAGAGGCCATAAGTATATGCAGAGCATCACATACTTACACGGTGAAGGGGATCTGACCAAATACTAGGACGGCTGTTTAAATGATGATCGATCAATATTCCAAGGGTAAATCAACCAAAACTTAAAGCGACCAAATTTTTATTTTACGACGTAAATATTCACCTCGGGGAAAAAGACCTATAATCGAACCACCACGAAAATGCATAGAAAGTTGGATTTTCGTGGTGGTTGTGTAGTGTATCATATTGTCGGCCCCGTCCGACTATACAGCTCCGCTCACTGTTTTTTATGTAGTTTGTATTAAATCCGAACACACTGTGCGATGCTATTTAATGAAATGTATACAATTCTGTCCATCCCATATCTTTGGCAAATTAATTACATTCAGAGCAATAGAGAGATAGAGACGGTAAGTGGACGGTAGGGCAAGAAAATATACCTGGAAAAAGGGGATTTTTTTCTTTTTAATGGCCAAGAACAAATCAAATGAATAAACAAAACGGCCAGAAGATGAGAATATAAAAAGCTCAGCAGAAATACAAGAGGCCAGCAGTATATGCAAGAGAGTGCTGGCATCAACATCGGGACACAAGAAAACAAATTGGAATACAAATGGCAATTAAAACAAGGGGTTATTGTTTGCTTTGGATACTATTAAGTATATGCAATGGAATACATATGGAAGAGGTACAAATTCGAATTTAAATGATGTATTTTTAATTATATACAAATTTTTATTTTAGATTTCATCTATTGCAGAATCCAAACAAAATGAAAGTCTTATAATTTATGATATCCATGGAAAACTAAATGAATTGGAAGAAAATGTTGTAAATACCCACAAAAAGTTGATGGAAACCCAAACAAATTTAACCAATTGTTTAAATGGAAATCCCCAATTAAATGGTGTCTTGGAAAAAATCCACAAATTGGAAATGGGCTTTAAGGAGCTACGAACAAGCATAAAGAAACCAAGTGATATTGTCATTCAACGGCGTGTTGATGGTTCAGAGGATTTCTTTCGTCCCTGGGCTGATTATAAGGAGGGATTTGGTAATAGTTCAGGAGAATTTTTCATTGGCCTGGATAAGTTAAACAAACTTACCAATTCCCGTCCCTATGAGTTACTCATTGTTATGGAAGATTGGGAAAATGATTGCCGTTATGCGCGTTATGATCAATTTATAATTGGCACCGAAGCTGAAAAATATGTCCTCAAGGAATTAGGTAAATATAGTGGCTCGGCGGGTGATGCTTTGGGTTATTCGCTGGGTCAGAAATTCACGACCAAAGATCAAGATAATGATGTGTGGAATAAAAATTGTGCTGTTGAATTTACCGGGGCATGGTGGTATAAGGATTGTCATAGGAGGTAAGAAAACCTAATCTTTTACATAAAGAGTATCTAATAATCGATTTTTGCGTCTATTTGCAGTAATCTCAATGGGCGTTATATTAAAGGCGGCAAAACCACTGTTTTTGCCCAGGGCGTTGATTGGGATCCATTCAAGGGGCATTATTATTCTTTGAAATTTGTTGAAATGATTTTGCGTCCAACTTAAATGGGAGCGGAATGTTGTTTGTGATTAATTGGTAATTAATATAATTTTTATAATTTTACCTATTTTGAAAAGAGGTATTTAATATCTTTGTAATTGAAGAAACAAAATAAATTGTAATTTGTATTGAAAAACAATCGATTATTTGGAACCACAATTGTTGCAAAAATAATGGAATCGATAATCGGCAACCTTTTATAGAAAGGGATCTTTTTCTAAATAAAAATATTTCATTTTAAGGGATTTATCCTAGTTCATACGATAGCTATAAACTCACAGAGAAACGTCACAAAATTTAAAATCGATTGGGTTATTAGTTTTTGGGTTAACGTAACCGCCATTCGCAAAAACGCTGTTTGGAGAAAAAACGCGTTTAAAGTTTGAGAAGTCCTCTTGCTGTCACTTGATGCTAACACAATAAATCGGATTTTCACTTGAAAATGTATAGGGACATTCTTGTCAAAACACAAAATTAAATTTTTTTGAGACCGAGAGTGGTGGGGGTTCCCTTGAACGAAAATTATAGCCCCTGAATTTCGGAATGCGAATATACACTTTTTATACCCTCAGCCTTATGGCTAATGAGGGTATATACACTTTGATATGCGAAAAATGTGCCTCATTGAAATATTGGTTTTAGACCCCATGTTTCTTTGGATCAAATCCATTTCAGACAATTTGGAATCGATTTACAAATGTCCCTCCGTCTGTTTGACCGACTGGGGCTCACGATAACTCTCGAATGGAGTAACATATTTGATGAGGGTTAACATTTTCTATATTTATAAATCTAATATTAAGCGAATGGAATGTCCGATGTGAACCAAACTTTACACAACCTATTATCTTTACCAATCCTTAATCAAGTCCGAAGATGGGACCCGTCGGCCCTCTCTTTCGCTACATCCCCACAAAGGGTGCATCTATACTAATAAAAGAGTAAAGTGATTGACTACGAACAATAAGTATCCGAGAAGTACAAAAATGTACTAAACTTGGTACAAATTCGTAGCATGTAAACGGATAGAGCTAAAAAACCAGTGAGCGGAGCAGTATAGTTGGACGGGGCCGACCATATGATACCCTACACAACTTCCATGAAAATCTAACTTTCTGTGGTTCTATATTCTGAGATTGGGTCAACAAATGTTACTAATAATCAGTACAGCCCCTCTACATACTTGTCCAGATTCCCTTCACCGTGGGTTGTGTTGTTATGTTTGGCTTTCGACTCGAAAAGTACAAATAATTAAGTTTTCGGTCCACTTCATCCGAAAAATTATTATCTGATTATCACCTAACATTTTAGGCGTTGTCCTTGACCATAACTGGAACCTCATGGAACATTTCAAAGCGATCCGCGCTATATTTCCGCCCTCAAGTGTGGTAATAGGTTATTAAATAATATCTGAATACGTAAGCACCTGTAAATATTTAAATGTAACTCCCGCATCCGAGGTCCCACGACAATATAATTGGTATCAATTAAAAGATCAACCACTTCTCTTGGATATACTATCAACTTCTCGGGTCTACGTCCTTCAGTGGTAAATATATACGCTATAGAATACAAATTTTGTCATTTTCACACAAAAGTTAGGGTCCATTTGACCCGCTAAATATTGACCGATCTTTATCAAAACAGGCATGCTTATTCTTTGGCCCGATCCCCTTTTCCATGCAAAATTTCACGATGTTTGGGTCATAATTGCGGCCTCTGGAGCGACCAGAAAAACCGACAAAAATAAAGTTTTTAGTCCATTTCATCCCCTAAATATTAACCGATCTTTTTGAAAAACAATAGGGGTCTTCATTGGCCAAAACCCATCCTACGTGCAAAATTTCGTGAAGATTGGAACATAACTGTGGTCTTTATCGTGTTTACAAATTATAATGGACAGACGGACGGACACACATGTTCGATCTAGACAGAGTCGAGATATGACGATCGGTATACTTAATGGTGGGTCTAGGACCAATATTTCGTGGCGTTACAAACTTTTGGAGCTGCACAAAGCTATAATACCCTGACAACATAGTTGTGTAGGGTATAATGACGATCGGTATACTTAAAGGTGGATCTAGGACCAATATTTCGCTGCGTTACAAACTCGTGAGGCTGCACAAAGCTATAATACCCTGACAACATAGTTGTGTAGGGTATAATTAAAAAATTTGGAATGCGAATCAATGTTGAATAGTAGGGTCAATATAATGAAGTGATTTTGTAAGAATGAAGTATTTTTGTAGGATTGAGGTATGGATGTAGTTTTGGAAATTTTGTATGTATTGGTTGATACCCATGGTAATGGTACTAAATTTGGTACAATTTGGATTTGGGTGAACCGATAGAGATGGTATCCTGAAGAGTTAGAATTGCTTTTGGGTTGTAGGATTGGGGCATGTAGGAAGTTTTGGAAAATCGTACTAATGTGTACGAAATTTGGTACAAATTGGATTTGTGTCAATCGTTAGAGCTATAACACTTACATTTGGAAATGGGATTACTGTTGGTGTGCAAGATTGTGGAATGGATGTAGTTTTGGAAATGAAGAGCCCTATTGTTTTTGTTTAAGATCGGTTAATATATAGGGGATGAAATGGACCAAATACTTAATTTTTGTCGTTTTTTCTGGTCGCTCCAGAAACAGAAATTATGGCCCGAACATCGAAATTTTACATGGAGAAGGGGATCGGCCCAAATAAAAAGCATGACTGTTTTGAAAAAGATCTGTCAATATTTAGCGTGTCAAATGGAACCGGACTTTTGTGTGAAAAATTACAACTAATGTGTACTAAATTTGGTACAAATTAGATTAGTGTCAATCGATAGAGCTACAGCACTTAAATTTGGAAATAAGATTACTGTTGGTGTGTAGGATTGTGGAATGGATATAGTTTTGGAAATCTGTACTTAAGGGATAATACCCACGGTAATGGTAATGATACAATTGGGATTTAGGTGAAGCGATAGATTTGGTATCCTGAAGTTTGGAGTTAGAATTGCTTTCGGGGTAGAATTGAGATATGTAGGAAGTTTTTGAAATTCGTATTAATGATACATAATTTTGTACAATTAAGATTTGGGTGAATCGATAGGGCTGTAATTCCTTTAAGAAAAAAGGTTTATGTTGATTGTATGATGCAGCTAGTTTTGGAAATTCGAACTTATGTGTATTAAATTCAGTACAGTTTGAATGTTGGTGGAATCGGGAAATAAGTGTTTAACTGGTTGTAGGATTGGGATTTTCTGGATGTTTTGGAAATTTGTACTAATGGTACTAAATGTTGTGCAATTTGGATATGGGTGAACCGATAGGGATGTAATACTGAAATTGTACATGTGTACTTATATGTTCTAAATTGTACTAAATTTGATATGATTTGTATTTAGGTTATCGGATCGAGCTGGAATCCTGAAAAGTGGAATTAAGATTACTTTTGGAGAGTAGGGTTGGGATATGTAGGAAGTTTTTAAAATTCGTGTAAGTGTGTACTAACTAGTACTAAATTTTAATCTGGGTGAAGTGGATCCTGAAATTTGGAAAATTGATTTCTATTGAATTGTTAAGGAACCTAAAGAGCTCAAATCATGAAATGTGGAATTAGTACAAAAGCAAACTTTTCTAGAAAATTAGAGCACTTTGGAAATAAACGACTCAACTAGACTTCGTATTGTTTTTATACCCTTCACCACACTGTGGTACAGGGTATTATGTCTTTGTGCATATGTTTGTAACAAGCAAAAATAATCGAGATAGACCCATGGTTGCTTTTGAGAATGTGCATAGAATCACTTTCTGAGTCGATTTATGCATGTCCGTCTGTCCGTCCGTCCATGTATTTTTGTTAACAAAGTACAGGTCGCATTTATGATCCGATTTGGATGAAATTTGGCACAGGTCACTTAATTGGCCCATGGACGAACCCTATTGAAATTGGAGTAAATCGGTCCACGTTTAGACATAGCTCACATATAAGGGTACCCCCCAATTTTCGGCATTTTGAGGTTATTTAGCACGTTTTTTAACTGAATTCGCTGAAATTTGGTACTTTGAGTTCTTATTGGGTAGCAAATCTCCCTACTAAAAATTATAAATATAGGTCAATTTTTTTCGGATAGTCCCCATATAAGGGTACCCCCCAATTTTCGGTATTTTGAGGGTTTTGATCGCATTTTTGGACCGAATTCGCTGAAATTTGGTACTTTGAGTTCTTATTGGGTAGCAAATTTCCCTACTAAAAATTATAAATATAGGTCAATTTTTTCGGATAGTCCCCATATAAGGGTACCCACAATTTTCGGTATTTTGGGGTTCTTGAGCTCGTTTTATAACTGAATTCTCTGAAATTTTGTACATTGGGTTCTTATTGGGTACCAAATTACTCCACTAAAAATTATAAATATAAGTCCAGTTTTTCTGGTAGTCCCCATATAACGGTACCCCCAAATTATTGGCATTTTGGGGGTTCTGATCGTATTTTTCGACCGAATTGACTGTAATTTAGTACGTCGAGTTCTTATTAGGCAGCAAATCTCTCCACTATAAATTATAAATATAGGTCAATTTATTCGGGTAACCCCCATATAAGGGTACCCCCCAATTTTCGGTATTTTGGGGTTCTTGAGCGCGTTTTTCAACCAAATTCTTTGTAATTTGGTTTTTTATACCCTTCACCACACTGTGGTACAGGGTATTATGTCTTTGTGCATATGTTTGTAACAGGCAAGAGGAATCAAGATAGACCCATGGTTCCTTCTGAGAATATGCATATAATCACTTTTTAAGTCGATTTATGCATGTCCGTCCGTCCGTCCGTCTGTCTGTCCATGTTAAATTGTAAACAAAGTACAGGTCGCATTTATTATCCGAATTGGATAAAATTTGGCATACGTCACTTATTTGACCCAAGGACGAACCCTATTGAAATTGGGAAAAATCGGTTCAGATTTAGATATAGCTCCCATATATATTTTCGTCCGATTTAAGGTAAATGGTGCACCAAAGACCCTATATATCTTTTGATTTGCACGAAATTTGACACAGCGTACTTAATTAAGCCTAGAATGATGTGTTTTAAGTTTCATAAAAATCGGTTCAGATTTATATATAGCTCCCATATATATTTTCGTCCGATTTAAGGTAAATGGTGCACCAATGTCCCTAAATATCTTTCGATTTGCACGAAATTTGGCACAGCGTACTGAATTAAGCCTAGAATGATGTGTGCTAAGTTTCGTGAAAATCGGTTCAGATTTAGATATAACTCCCATATATATTTTCGTCCGATTTAAGGAAAATGGTGTACCAAAGTCTCTGTATACCTTTCGATTTCCACGAAATTTGGTACAGCGTACTGAATAAAGTCTAGAACGGTGTGTGTGTTAAGTTTCGTAAAAATCAAAAATGCGACGTCTGTTATGATTCATCTGTTGAATTTACCCAAAGTGATGAAGGGTATCATATAGTCGGCCCCGTCCGACTTTACCACTTTCCTTACTGGTTCCATCCTAATCTAGTCCAGTCACAATTTTCGTTAAAGCTTAGGAGAACTCATTCTACAAAAACTACGCTGTAATCGATGTAACGCGTTCGAGGGGAATGATTAGATTTGGGTCGTTCCGGAACGAACTAGTTCATTTGAACTACTTTTGAAAAGTAACGATCGGAAATAGGTCTAGTATTTTAGTTCATTTTTCCTTTCGAGAAAAGAAACGAGAAAGATCCATTCGGTCTGCAGATTGCCAAACTCTAGGAATGAATAATAATTTTAGTAAATAAAGGTATGTTTTGTAATATTAGGCGGTTACTATTTTGTCCCACTATTTTGTCTCATTCATTCGCTAAACTTATTGATTATATTGTTATCTTACAATAATTGATGGTTTAAAAAAGGGTTTAAACACTTGAAGTAGGATTAACTTTTTGAGAGTAATTTTTTCTGTCATTTTACGTTTCTGTAGTAAAATATACAGATTGTTATAAAACAGTGATATATAAGCCATAACAAATGGAAAATAAAAAATATTTTCTTCCACATAATTTATCGACGGTGACCAAACTGCTGGAACGAATATAGAAATGGCAATATTACTTGGGGTTCTTTTGATATTTTCCAATTTGCTCATCGAAATTCAAATGGAAGAGGTAAATATGTGTAAGTTAAGTGTATTCACAGAGGCCATAAAACTGAGTGAACTTTTTTTATAGATAACAACAATTAAAGCATCCCATAAAAGTGAAAATTATATAATTTTCGATCTACATGAGAAACTAAATGAACTGCAGCTGAGGTTCATAAACAATTATCAGATGTTAGAAGAATCTCAACTGAATTTGACATTATGTTTAAATGGCAATCCCCAAATAAATGGAATTCTAGAGAAAATACAGAAATTGGAGGCGAAAGTAAAAGAAATACGAAAACAGGATCAAAAGCCCACAGACGACATTGTCGTTCAAAGGAGGATGGATGGTTCTGAGGATTTCTTTCGCCCTTGGGCTGAGTATAAACAGGGATTTGGTAATAGTTCTGGAGAATTTTTCATTGGTCTCGATAAGCTGAATAATCTTACCAATAGTCGTCCCTATGAATTGCTCATTCGCATCGAAGATTGGGATGATGATTGCCGTTTTGCACGCTATGATCAATTTATAATTGGCACAGAAACTGAGAAATATATCCTCAAGGAATTGGGTAGATATAGTGGTTCCGCAGGAGATGCCCTAAGCTATTCATTGGGTCAAAAATTCACTACGAAAGATCAAGGTAATGACCACTGTTCAAAGAATTGTGCTGTTGAATTTACCGGAGCATGGTGGTATAAGAGTGGTCATAGAGGGTATGCACATGTTTGTTATACCCTACACAACTATGTTGTCAGGGTATTATAGCTTTGTGCAGCCCCAAAAGTTTGTAACGCCGCGAAATATTGGTCCTAGACCCACCTTTAAGTATACAGATCGTCATATCTCGACTTGCTGTCCATTATAATTTCGTCTGTCCATTATAATTTGTAAACACTATATAGTACACAGTTATGGACCAATCTTTACGAAATTTTGCATGTAGGATGGGTTCTGGCCAATGAAGACCCCTATTGTTTTTGGGAACGATCGGTTAATATTTAGGGGATGAAATGGACCAAATACTAAATTTTTGTCGGTTTTTCTGGTCGCTCCAGAGGCCGTAATAATGGCTCGAACATCTTGAAATTTTGCATGAAGAAGGGGATCGGGCCAAAGAATAAACATGCCTGTTTTGATAAAGATCGGTCAATATCTAGGGGGTCAAATTGACCCTGACTTTTGTGTGAAAAATTACAAAATTTGTATTCTAGAGCGTATATATTTGTCCCTGAAGGACATAGACCTGAAAAGTTGATATTATATCCAAGAGGAGTGGTTGACCTTTAAATTAGTACCAATTATATTGTTGTATGTGCTCGGATGTGGGAATTACACCCAAATATTTACAGGTATCTCCGTATTCGTAAATTATTTAGTAACCCATTACCATACTGGAGGGCGGAAATATAGCGCTGATCGCTTTGAAATGTTCCATGATGATCAAGGTATGGTCAAGGACAACGCCTATAATTTTCGTTGATGATCAGATAATAATTTTGGAATGAAGTGGACCGAAGACTTAATTTTTTGTGTTATTTTCGAGTCGATCTATAGACCACAAATGAAAGCCGAACATCACAACACAACCCACGGTGAAGGGAATCTGGACAATAGCTGTACTGAATACCCGAAATATTCGGAAAATATGTCAGTGTGAGGAAGAGGTGCTGTTTACCTCTAGTCGGGCAAGAGGGTGCAAATATCACGAAATATTGCCCAGGCTCGGAATAAATAAACAATTTGAGTTCCGTGGTAGTTGTGTAGGGTATCGTATGGTCGGCCCCGTCCGACTATACTGCTCCGCTCACTGGTTTTTTGTTGTGTATAACAAATGGTAATTAATATTTTGTTATTTTATTGTTTTTCATTAGAAATCTCAACGGAAAATATTTAAACGGTACAAATTCACAGTACGGCCAAGGTGTTGTCTGGGTACCATTCAGAGGAGATTATTACTCATTGAAATTTATTGAAATGATTTTGAGACCTACTTAAAATGATTTTTGTATATTGATGTGCAGAAAATTTGTTCCAAAAGCCGAACTAAGAAAAAGGTTTCCAGGAGCGTCGATCTTGTTCACATTTTTTCCCAATTGATATTTCTATCGAATTCGTGGCCTCATCCATTCGCGCAGCATGGCCTAGGAACCGAAATCGCTGCAGCTCAATACGACTGACTATGTCGATGTCCGTATATAGATTGTATAGATCGTCGTTCATTCGACGCCGATATTCACTATCTACGCAGATCGTCCCGTAGAACTTTCGGAGAATTATCTGATCCATACAACAGCACGGGTACTATCAGCGTCTTGTAGAGTGTGAGTTTGGTCTGGCGGGATGTGGCCATATTTCTAAATTGCAAACTTAGACCATAGTGGTATTTGTTGGAAAACACTATCCTTCTCCGAATTTCAAAACTGATGCCATTAGTTTTATTTATGGCGGAACCAATGTATATAAAATATTTGACTACCTCGAAGCTGTAGTTCTCAAGTTTCACAATTTGTCCGAGTCTACTGAACGTCTTTTGCGTTGATTCCATTTACTGCCAGACCCACTTTTGCAGACTCCTCAATTTGTTCAAGCGTGGCTGTTACCGCCCGCAATGTTCGACCCATTATGTCGATGTCATCGGCGTAGACGAGTAATTTAAGCTGTTTGGTGTACAGAGTTCGATTTCTGTTCTGTTCTTCTATTCTCGAATGACCTTTTCCAGCAGGATGTTAAAACGGTCACATGACAAACTGTCGCCTTCTCTGAATCCTCGTTCGGTATTGCAGGACTCCGAAAGGTCCTTTCCGACTTTAACTGCTGATGTGTTTGTTGTGGGTCTGTATTCCTCTAGCCAAATTGTACTTAACAGTTAGTTGTTATTCTGACCTCATATTGGCCAGGTGGTATATAACCTACACCGTCATCTCTCTGTGTTATCTTCTTCACCGCCTCTATTTGATGCCTGAAACTTTGCACCACGCAGATTCTCACCAGGCGACCTAGGTGGTGACAGTTACGAAATAACGGCTCTGATTGGAATTAAAATGGCAAAGTCCAGGCTTATCTAGGTGCCTCTTTCATCTCAATTGTGGACACTGTCCTCCACTATAGAACTACAAAAAATGGGCTGAGGCGTCGGGTTAGTTGCCACACTCGGAAAACTCCACTTACTATGGAAAACCAACGAAAATATCAAAATTCCGGTTAATACTTCGAGGTGTTGCAAACGGAATGACAAATAAAAAATACACCCCATCTTATGTGGAGGGTATAAAAACGAATCCCAATACTGACCTGCATAAGTTATATTACAAGTAAAATATATTTCAAATGTTTGTTGTTTTTGTTTTGGCAAAATAGGCACGATGAATCCCAGTTTGTTGTTTTTATAAAAAAATATATATTAGGATATTCTCCCCAGAAGCTATTTATTGATTCTTTACAAAAAACCTTTCATACCCAAATGTCTCTTGTAACAAATCGAAGTAATTACGTTACCAGCGAGAATTTCGTTGGTGCCTGACTTCGTGGTTAACAAGGCATTTGCAGAACAAATGCAATACATTTCCCACTGCTATGTGTCGTCACTTTGTTACCCTATATTTTATCATGTCTGACAAAAAGGTTTTTACAAAAAGGGCTATCAGGCGATATATTAGATAAAGTGATACTTATTTTCGTATCAGTCGAGAACGAAATGCAATTGAAATTCATTATCAGTACTATCAAGTGTCTCAACTGAATAACAGTGGTCAAATGGAGAAATTGCAATTTTGCTTCTTAAATCTAGCGTTATCATTGGTTGAAGATTTGAAGGACATAGATTCGAGACTTTTCAATATTCACATATGAGGAAAAAAGTACTTATTTATAAAGTCCCTGGTAATATATTTTCGACTGAACGCTAGCCGAAGTATATATATATATATATATTTATACCCTACACAACTATGTTGTCAGGGTATTATAGCTTTGTGCAGCCCCAAGAGTTTGTAACGCCGCGAAATATTGGTCCTAGACCTTCATTGGGTTCTGGCCAATGAAGACCTTTTTGGCAAAGATCGGTTAATATTTAGGGGATGGAGTGGACCAAATACTAAATTTCTGTCGGGTTTTCTGGTCGCTCCAAAATGTGTATTCTTCAGCGCATATATTTACCCCTGAAGAACATAGACCCGAGAAGTTGGTAGTATATCCAAGAGGAGTGGTTGACCTTTAAACTCATACCATATGGTCGTATATACACAGATGTGAGAGTTACACTTAAATATTTATAGGTGATGTTGACCTGAAACCGGGCAAGAGGATGCAACTATCACTAAATATTACCCAGACTTGGAATAAAAAGCCGCAGAAAGTTATAGTTCCGTTATAGTTGTGTAGGGTACACAACTATACTGCTCCGTTCACTGGTTTTTAAATAGATTTTAGTTTTAAATATATTTATGCCTTGTAGTGGTTTTTAAACCTACTTACACATTGTTATAAAAATCTGAATATTGGGGAAAAATAAATCCATTTATTTTATATGAACTATCGGACTTTATTTAATATGCCTCGGAATATCCGATTTTTGAATCCAGCTTGAGTAAATGGTTTAAAACATGGTAGATTTTTAGCTCCTGGCGATGTTACGATAGGTAACATGTCGCTCAACTTCGATCATTTCTCCGATTTTATCGACATTTTCGACGAATGCACCAAACAAAAAACAACAAAATATTTTTTACTGCTAAATGTCAACCTTCCAACGAGCATAAATCTGAAATTGTTTGATCGATACTTTACGAGAAATCAATCAGCACAGCCATCTGCCAAAAAATTATGGATTTCTTTATGCCCAACCACATCCTTCTGGTATCAAATAGTGGCGGTGAAGAAAATAACCATGAACCAATAAGAGATGACGGTGTATACCACCTAGCAAAGATGAGGTCAGAATAGCAATCAAGAAGAATAAAGCAACAGGTGCCGATGTGTTCAAGACCGGTGGTCAGATACTGGTCAGGAGCATGCGTAAGATAATTAGTACAATTTGGGTAGAGAAATACATGCCCAATGATTGGATCCACAGCATTCTGTGTTCCGTGCTCAAAAAAGGAAGCAAGGCGATATGTGCCAACTACAGAGGAATAAGTCTTCTTCTCACCGCATATAATGTGCTACCCAGCATACTGTGTGAACGACTGAAGTCAATGGTCAATTGGACCATACCAATGTGGCTTCAAACCTGGCAAATCATCATTGACCAGATTTTCACTCTGCGCCAAATTATGGATAAGACCCTCGAAAAACCCACCAACACATTCCACATATTCGTCGACTATAAAACCGCATTCGACAGCTTTATTCTCTCTGAGGTGTTTAAAGCCATGTCCACGTTCGACATTCCTGCAAAATTAATCGGAAAGGACCTATCGAAGCCTTTCAATACTGAACGAGGATTCATACAAAGTGATAGTTTGTGGTGTGATCTTTTTAACATCCTGCTGGATGAAATGTCACTCGGTACACCAAACAACACATATTACTCGCATACGCCAATGACATCGACATAATGGGTCGAACATTGCGACCTACCATTGAACAAATTCAGATGAAGTCTGTCATAGTGGGTCTGGCAGTAAATGGCGAGATGACCAAGCTGATGGTATCAACGTGCCAGAGTCAAAAAAATCGGACCAACTGTGGAATTTGAGAACTACAGCTTCGAGGTAGTCAAAATTGTATATACCTCGATAGCGCCATAAATAAAACTAATGAAATCAGTTTTGATATTCAAAGAAGAATTGTGTTGGCTAACAGATGCTACTATGGTCTAGGTAAGCAATTTAGAAACAAAGCACCCTTTCTCGCCAGATCAAACTTACATTTTACAATACGCTGATACTTCCCGTGCTGGTGTATGGATATGTGAGAAAAATTCTCCGAAAGATATATGGGCTGATCTACGTCGACGGTGAATATCGCAGCTCAAAAGGCATATAAAACCGAACCAACTGATGGCTCACGTAGAAGGGTAAGGCCACGAATTCGATAAAAACAATCAAGTGGAAGAGAATATTTTGGAACATGGTTTAGAAGAGCTGTTGACAGGACCGACGCGCCTGGTCCTGTCGGCTTATGGAACAAATGTTCTTTCTCGAGCCAGCTATATATATATATAGACGTGTGTGACGATTCTAAGCCAAATTCTTCATCTCAATTCCTTCTTGCCATAGTCTTATATACATAGTCGGAAGATGATTTTTCAATAGCATTCTATAAACCGCAACCATCCATTATCATACCTCTCACATTCTAGACTTCCTACATTTTTTTTATTTCGATGAGTATAAGTAGCATGGTGTGGCAACAATATTGGTTCTACTGTGATGCGGTTTTCATTATCGCACAATAACACTATTTTATTGTTGTTGTTGTAATGTTATCTTTTAAGAAATAATGGCATTTTGCTTTTAAGCAATTGGAAGAGGACTTTTTGTGGGTAGCATATTTGGGTTAGGGGATTTTTTCGCATGGTGAAGTACAAAATTAAGCAACTGGATATTTGCGAAGACACTGCTATATTTTCTTTCTGGAATTCTTTAATGGAATTCGAATGGAGGAGGTAAACAAATGGTATGAACCAAAATCATTTTAATATGATATTTTAAATTTAATTGAAGATATCCGCCTTGGCAAACTCCCTACAAAAAGAAAATTTAATAATTTCCGATATACATGGAAAATTAAATGAACTGGGACAAAGCTTGCTAAGCAAGCAACAAAGTTTAGAAGAAACGCAACAAAATCTTACACAATGTTTAAATGAAAATCCCCAAATCAATGGAATTTTAGAGAAAATACATAAACTGGAGACGAGTTTAAAAGAATTAAGAGAAAATATTAAAAAACCTGGTGACATTGTCATACAAAGGCGAATTGATGGTTCGGAGAATTTCTTTCGTCCCTGGGCTGATTATAAAGAAGGATTTGGTAACAGTTCTGCAGAATTTTTCATTGGCTTGGATAAATTGAATAAACTTACCAATACCCGCCCATATGAGCTGCTCATTGTCATGGAAGATTGGGAGAATGATCGACGTTATGCGAGATATGATCAATTTATAATTGGTACAGAAACAGAGAAATATATCCTCAAGGAATTGGGTAAATATACTGGCTCAGCTGGTGATTCTTTGTCATATTCGCTGGGTCAGAAGTTCAGCACAAAAGATCAAGATAATGACGTGTGGAGTAAAAATTGTGCTGTTGAATTTACGGGAGCTTGGTGGTTTAAGGATTGTCATAGAAGGTACATTTTGTTATTGGAAGAATTTGTGAATTGATATTTGGTAAATTTTTTGTTTGTTTTTCATTTCAGTAATTTAAATGGTAGCTATTTGAATGGCACAACAACAGAATATGCAAAAGGCGTGGACTGGGAATACTTTAGAGGTCATTATTATTCTTTGAAATTTGTCGAAATGATCTTACGGCCCACTTAAAACGATAATACAAATGATTTATGTTTTACGTTATTTTGATTTTATTAATAAATATGAACATACACGATGAGTCACAGTCAAAAGTGTCCATTTGGTTTTTATACCCTACACAACTATGTTGTCAGGGTATTATAGCTTTGTGCAGCCCCAAAAGTTTGTAACGCCGCGAAATATTGGTCCTAGACCGACCTTTAAGTATACCGATCGTTATATCTCGACTAGCTGAGTCGATCTAGACAAGTGTCCGTCTGTCCATTATAATTTGTAAACACGATACAGGCCACAGTTATGGACCAATCTTTACGAAATTTTGCATGTAGGATGGGTCCTGGCCAATGAAGACCCCTATTGGGAAAGATCGGTTAATATATAGGGGATGAAATTGACCAAATACTAAATTTTTTCGGTTTTTATGGTCGCTCCAGAGGCCGCAATAATGGTCCGAACATCGTGAAATTTTGCATGGAGAAGGGGATTGGGCCAAAGAGTAATATAAAGATCGGTTAATATTTAGCTGGTCAAATTGACCCTGACTTTTGTGTGAACAATTACAAAAATTGTATTCTATAGCATATATATTTACCAGTGGAGGACATAGACCCGAGAAGTTGATATTATATCCAAGAGGAGTGGTGACCTTTAAATTAAGACCAATTATATTGTTGTATGTGGTCCGATGTGGGAGTTACACCTAAATATTTACAGGTATCTCCGTATTCGAATATTATTTAGTAACCCATTATCACTCTAGAGAGCGGAACTATAGCGCTGATCGCTTTGAAATGTTCCATAAGGTTCCAGGTATGGTCAAGGACAACGCCTATAATTTTCGGTGATGATTAGATAATAATTTTGGAATGAAGTGGACCGAAAACTTAATTTTTTGTGTTATTTTGGAGTCGATCTATAGACCACAAATGAAAGCCGAACATCACAACACAACCCACGGTGAAGGGAATCTGGACAATAGCTGTACTGAATACTCGTAATATTCGGAAAATATGTCAGTGTGAGGAAGATGTGCTGTTTACCTCTAATCAGGCAAGAGGGTGCAATTATCACGAAATATTACCCAGGGTCGGAATAAACATCCGCAGAAAATTTAAGTTCCGTGGTAGTTGTGTAGGGTATCATATGGTCGGCCCCGTCCGACTATACTGCTCCGCTCACTGGTTTATAATAAAAATGTCATAGGTGCATGTTAATCAATGACATCTTAACTTGAAATTAAAGCAATAAAATAAGTAAGGAAAGTAGTAAATGTAAGGAAGAAATGTAAGGAAAGTAGTGAATTCGGACTGGGCCGACTTGTATCCTAACAGACGTCGCCTATTCGAAGTAGTATTGACATGAAATGTAACAACTTTTCACTTATCTTCATTCGGGCAGAGGTAAAGTCGTACAGTGGGACAAGTTTATGTAAATCGATTAAAAGCACTGTTGAAAATTAATTTTCAATCAAACACTCGTTCGAAATATATATGGAAGCTATGTCTGCATCTGCGCCAATTTCAACAAAGAGCAAAAACGTCATTTTAGTCTCAAATTGTCCAAAATTTCATGTCAATCGGAAAAATATTAGGAATTTGGTGCACAATTTACATAAAATCGGAAGAAAATATATATAGGAGCTATACCTAAATCTGAACCGATTTTACAAAACTTAACGCACATCATTCTAGACTGAATTCAGTACGCTATGCCAAATTTCGTGCAAATCGAAAGAAATGCAAGGACTATGGTGCTCTATTAGCATAATATTGCACGAAAATATATATAGGAGCTATATCGAAATACGAACCGATTTTCACGAAACTAAGCACACATCATTGTAGACTCAATTTAGTACGCTGTGCCAAATTTCATGCAAATCGAAAGATATATAAGCAAAACTTACATTAAAACGGGCGAAAAGATATACGGGAGGTATATCTAAATTTGAAACAATTTTCACGAAACTTATCACACATCATTCTAGACTCAATTCAGTACGCTGTGCAAAATTTTGTGCAAAACGAAATATATAAAGGAACTTTGGTACACAATTTACATTAAATCGGACGATAAAATATATGGGAGCTACATCTAAATTTGAACCGATTTTTCTCAATTTTTTTAGAGTTTTTCCTTGAGCAATTGCAAGCTCACAATGAAAAATAAATTTTAACAAACGGATTTTTTTGGATGGTTAATAGTTAGTATGATATCCCTTGTTTATCTTTTCCAGCTTCAACCTTGCCTGCATAGATTTTACCAAGTTTTTCGTGTAAGATGTCTGAATTTTCCCCATTCTACTTGTAAAGCATTTTTTAGACTTGGTATGCTTGAGATGTTATGGCTTTTTTCCCCAATTATAAATCACACATTCTTGAACGATCTGGAACTTGTGTTTGGAGTCATTATCTCGATGAAATTGAAATGTTATTCCCAACCCCAGTTTTTCAGGAATACATTTCATATTTTCATTTAGATTGTTTAAATTATAAATCTTATCCAAAATTCCTTCAATTAAAACGAGATTTCCTACTCCGGCAGCGCTCATACAGCCCCATACCATTACAGAGTGTGCATAGGCTTTATTCGGCCTGCGCCATACATATCCGACCAAAAAAAGTTAAATATATTTTCATCAGCTGGAAAAGCAGATTTCCAAAATGCAAATCGTTTTCCTGAACGAACTCCAATCGGATTTTCCAGGTCTTGGGTTTTATGAATGGCTTTTTCAGTGCAACTCTAACATGAAGACCATGCTTACTTAATTAACTGGCTGGTGGCGAAACATTTGTTCCATAAGGGGAGCTAGCTAGGCGCGTCGGTCTTGTGATCAGCTCTTCCAATTTGAAAGACCATCGGTAGATTTTTATCGGACGGTAGATTTTTATCAGACTCGATGGTGTAGAGAAATCTATAAAAATATGTATTAAAAAATACGTTATTTCGAACATTTTTAACATACGCTGGAGTTAAAACTCATAAGTTGATATCCATGCGATGTGTTGTTCCACGCCCTATCGGAATAGACCAAGTCCACCATTCAGTTCATAGATTTACGTATTAATTCCAAAGAATTTGGATGTTTCATAAACCAATGAAAATTCACAGTTTCCGCATTTTTATTATGATCCAATGGGGCCACATAAAGACCAGTTGCTAATTTTCTTAAAAAAAAAATATTTCGATATTCATACAGTTCGTTTGAAAATATTAGTTTTGGAAAATAATTCTTACTCATTTATTTCTAGTCTGGCAATTTTCTGCTTGGTTAACAACATGGCATGTTCAAAGGTGGGAAACATCCACTTATCGATCGGAACCTTTTGACAAGCCACATTTTTCATCACTTCATAAAGATTTTCATCGCACTTCAGTAGGAAATTATTATTTTTCCAGTGAATGCGGCTGGTTTTCTCCTAGCATTCCTTTAGTTCCTCCTCATTTTCTTGCTGGGTAAAACAAAGTAAGAAGTAGTCCTGTGAAACATACAGGAAAATAAAACATTTAAATACATTTTTAACGGGTGAGCGGAGCAGTATAGTCGGACGGGCCGACAATACGATACCCTACACATATACCACGGAACTCTAACTTTCTGTGGATATACTATCAACTTCTCGGGGATATGTCCTTCAGGAGCAAGTATATACGCCCCAGAATAAAAATTTTGTAATTTTTCACACAAAAGTCAGGGTCCATTTGACCCGCTATATATTGACCGATCTTTATCAAAAAAGGGATGCTTATTCTCTGGCACGATCCCCTTCTCCATGTAAAATTTTACGATGTTCGGACCATAACTGCGGCCTCTGGGGCGACCAGAAAAACCGATAAAAATTAAGTATTTCGTCCATTTCATCCCTTAAATATTAACCGATCTTTACCAATAATAATAGGGGTCTTCATTGGGCCGAACCTATCCTCCATGCAAAGTTTCGTGAAGATTGGTTCATAACTGTGGCCTGTATCGTGTTTACAAATTATAATGGACGGACGGACACACATGTCTATATCGACTCAGCTAGTCGAGATATGACTATAGGTATACTTAAAGGTGGGTCTAGGACCAATATTTCGCGGCGTTACCAACTTTTGGGGCTGCACAAAGCTATAATACCCTGACAACATAGTTGTGTAGGGTATAAAAATAGGGGTCTTCTTTGCACAGAACCCATCCAATCGTGAATAATGGTCCATAACTGTGGCCTGTATCGTGTTTACAAATTGTAATGGACAAACGGACGGACACACATGTCTAGATCGACTAGTCGAGATATGACGGTCGGTATACTTAAAGGACCAATATTTCACTGCCTAAGATTAACGATTGCGGCGTCGATAGTCATTGAAAAACTATTCTTAAAAAAATCCCCGAAAATAGCTCTGATATGCTCGGAACCACAAGCGTGAATTTTATAAAAAATCTTATTACGTATTTTCTATAAAATCCACTTTTATGTATCCGACAATACTTGAAACAACATTTTCATTGAACGGACGCTAGTGACTCTTCTTTTATAAAACATACGCTCTGGCACTAATATTCCTTGAAAAAGTTGTATTTATAAAAACCACGTTATTTGCCCTAATATTGTTTTGAAAATCAAGGTTTGTGGCTCTGATTGTCCATAAATTTATCCCATCAAACATATCCAATAACCATTAATTGTAATTAGAGTACAATTATTCGGTTCATCATTACGATGTGTATAAAATCGAACATCCAACGATCCGATTTTAATTCTTGACGATTCGTATTGATATTCTCATAATGGTAGAGATACCTGTGAATGAAATTGTATTGCTGAACGCTACGCGGCAAATGGGGTTTGAGTACGCCTAACATCGACACTAACTGGGATTTGGTACATTCAATTAAAATATCACTAAAATATCAGACATATTGACAAAGGCGAACTTTTTTCTTTAAATATCAAAAACAGAAGTTAACCTTGGAATCAATATCATTCTCATTCGATGGTTACAACGAAACTAACTTCTATTTCAAAAACTATTTCTAAGTGTACGTATGCCACTTGGGGAGTTTAATCAGCTGGAGATAGTAAGACTTGTAATGAAATTTATGTAAACAAATTACATTTATTATTCACAATAAAACGTATATATACGTCAATTATACCAGGTCGTCTATTTATTGTATACTTATTATAAAATCAACAAAGTATATTATCATAACAAGATTCATCAATAACAAACTAAACAAACTTAATTGTAGAATCTACCATGTAGGTACAAAACCAGGCACCCTATAGACAATTTGATTGCAAATGTATCTGACGGATGGAGCATGAATATTGTTGTTAGTAAGTAAGAGTGAATTTTTTAAAGGAATGGAGGAGACTCGTACGAAATTAAATACGTGATCTACATAGATATTTTTATACCCTACACAACTATGTTGTCAGGGCATTATAGCTTTGTGCAGCCCCAAAAGTTTGTAACGCCGCGAAATATTGGTCCTAGACCCACCTTTAAGTATACCGATCGTCATAACTCGTCTAGCTGAGTCGATCTAGACATGTGTGTCCGTCCGTCCGTCTGTCCATTATAATTTGTAAACACGATACAGGCCACAATTATGTACCGATCTTCACGAAATTTTGCATGTAGGATGGGTTCTGGCCAATGAAGACCCCTATTGTTTTTGGGAAAGATCGGTTAATATTTAGGGGATGAAATGGACCAAATACTAAATTTTTGTCGGTTTTTCTGGTCGCTCCTGAGGCCGCAACAATGGTCCGAACATCGTGAAATTTTGCATGGAGAAGCGGATCGGGCCAAAGAATAAGCATGCCTGTTTGGAGAAAGATCGGTCAATATTTAGCGGGTCTAATGGACCCTGACTTTTGTGTGAAAAATGACAAAATTTGTATTCTATGGCGTATATATTTACCTCTGAAGGACATATACCCGAGAAATTGATATTATATCCAAGAGGAGTGGTTGACCTTTAAATTAAGACAATTATATTGTTGTATGTGCTCGGATGTGGGAGTTACACCTAAATATTTACAGGTATCTGCGTATTCGTATATTATTTAGTAACCCATTATCACTCTGGAGAGCGGAACTATGGCGCTGATCGCTTTGAAATGTTCCATGAGGTTCCAGTTATGGTCAAGAACAACGCCTATAATTTTCGGTGATGATTAGTTAATAATTTTGGAATGAAGTGGACTGAAAACTTAATTTTTATACCATACACAACTATGTTGTCCGGGTATTATAGCTTTGTGCAGCCCCAAAAGTTTGTAACGCCGCGAAATATTGGTCCTAGACCCACCTTTAAGTATACCGATCGTCATAACTCGACTAGCTGAGTCGATCTAGACATGTGTGTCCGTCCGTCCGTCTGTCCATTATAATTTGTAAACACGATACAGGCCACAGTTATGTACCAATCTTCACGAAATTTTGCATGTAGGATGGGTTCTGGCCAATGAAGACCCCTATTGTTTTTGGGAAAGATCGTTTAATATTTGGGGGATGAAATGGACCAAATACTAAATTTTTGTCGGTTTTTCTGGTCGCTTCAGAGGCCGCAACAAGGGTCCGAGCATCGTGAAATTTTGCATGGAGAAGCGGATCGGGCCAAAGAATAAGCATGCCTGTTTGGAGAAACATCGGTCATTATTTAGCGGGTCAAATGGACCCTGACTTTTGTGTAAAAAAAATTTGTATTCTATGGTTGTCTAAAATCTATGAAAAATAGCATGTGCGCATTGGTGTACCATTTGTAGCAAAAGGGAGCTTTATGCAAATCTGGAACGATTTGAGCAAACATGGAATACACTATTTGATATGCTGCAGTACAGTGCTCTTTAATCTCGATCGGTGAAAAATTTGCATGAACTCAGACGAAAATATATAAGGGTTACATAAACATCTGAACAAAATTTACAAAATCCATTACACGCCACGTGCAAAATTTAGTATAAATCGAACTAACGTGGGCTCTTTGGTGCACCATTTACACAAAATCGGACGAAAACACAATATTTTACACTCAATTCAACATTGTATGCAAAATTTCGCCTCAATCGAAAAATAAAAGGAGTTTAGGGCACAATTTACCTAAAATCTGACTCGATTTTCACGAAACTTAGCACACATTATTCTGGACCTAATTCAGTACCCTAAGCCAAATTTTGTGCAAATCGAAAGATACATAGGAACTTGGTGCCACGTTATATTTATAGATTATCCGATCTATAAATATTTTTAATCAGAATATAATACTATGCCAATTTATGCATGTCTGTCTGTTGACACCACCATTTTGCACATACACTGTTATGACTCCTAGGATGTTCGGTATTGAAAATGATATGGATATACCTTATGGTATAGCCAAACATTCAGAATTTGCAATTTGATATTTTCAATATTGGTCCAATTTTTTCGATTTAAGCATTTTGGAATGTATGGGCACGTTTTTCGACCGAATTGGTTGTAATTTTGTATTTTGGGTTCTCATTGGGCAACACATTTTCCTTCTAAAAAAATTTCCGTATTGGTCCACTTTCTACGATAGCTCCCATATAGCAGCACCTCAAAATGTCAGTATTTTCGGAAAAATGGACACGTTTTTCAAAAGAATTGACTGTTATTTGGCCCAAGGACGAACGAATTTGGTGATTCGTCCGTATCTATGTAAAGCCCCTATATTTCTTTCATTTTGCATGACATTTAGCATAGCTTCCTGAATTGAGTCTATGATTAATATTAAGTATATATTAATATTAATATTAAGTATGCAAGGCGAAAATGCAAGCCAAGCGGGTTAAAATTGTGAATGGCGCTTATTGTTTCGATACTGTAACAGCCAATTATTTGCAATTTTGGTTTCATAATTCCATTCAGAAATTTTTGATGTTAAATATGCTCCTCGCACAGGTAGGTAGGCTGGTCGTCGAAAATGTCTATAAAATCGGAGAAATGATCGAAGTTGACCGGCATCATAGCCCAGGAGCTAAAAATCGACCATAAAACTTTTTTAAACCATTTACAATTGACCAGAAACTACCAGAATTCGCAAAAAGGAGATGTGTCGTGTTCCACCAGCACAGCGCTAGGCCACACACATTTACACTGACTCACCAGAAACTTCGGGAGCTTGGTTGGGAAGTTTTAATGCATCCGCCATACATTCCGGACTTGGCAGCAAGCAACTATCATATTCATAATAAAATTTCTTTGATGATAAAAAAGTAGGTATCTAGGGAGGATAGTTTTTTGCAAATAGAGAGCAGGACGGTGCATATTTGGCCCAAATCGGACAGTCCGAAACATGTTAAATAAAGTCTTATAGTTCATATAAAAATAATGGATTTCTATTTCCCCAACCTACTATTAGAACACATTCTCTAGACCCATTTAACCAGTGTCGGCAATAAAGAAACACATTCTCGGTAGGTAATGACTTTTATTTTTAGAATGCACAAATATTAAAGCAAATTAATTTATTGTATAACTCATTGATAAGATTAATTAAAATGAAATATAACAAAAATTTAGTTTTTTTATTGACCAACAAAAAAATATATAAACAAAATTAAAAGAAGATGATAATATAAAAAGTTCAGCGGAAATACAAAGGGCCAGCAGTATATAGAAGTGAGTGCTGGCATTATCATCGGAACACAAGCTAAAATTTTGGAATACAATGGGAATTACAACCAAGGGTTTCGTTTTGTTTTGGATAGTTCTAAATGTCTGTAAAGGCATAAACATGGGAGAGGTACAAATACAAATTTAAAAGTAGTTTTATTATTTATATGTAAATCGAATTTTGCTTTTAGGTTTCATGTGTTTCGGAATCGAAACAAAATGGCAGTCTTATAATTTATGATATTCATGGAAAACTAAATGAATTGGAAGCAAATGTTGCAAATACCCACAAACAGTTGTTGGAGACCCAAACGAATTTAACCAATTGTTTGAATAAAAATGTCCAATTAAATGGTGTCTTCGAGAAAATCCATAAATTGGAGATGGGCTTTAAGGAGCTCCAATCAAGTATAAAGAAACCAAGTGATATTGTCATCCAACGGCGATTTGATGGTTCAGAGGATTTCTTTCGTCCCTGGGCTGATTATAAAGAGGGATTCGGTAATAGTTCAGGAGAATTTTTCATTGGATTGGATAAGCTAAATAAACTTACCAATTCCCGTCCTTATGAGTTACTCATTGTTATGAAAGATTGGGAGGAAGATTACCGTTATGCAAGATATGATCAGTTTATAATTGGCACCGAAGCTGAAAAATATATTTTGAAAGAACTGGGTAAATATAGTGGTTCGGCAGGTGATGCTTTGGGTTATTCGCTAGGGCAGAAGTTCTCTACGAAAGATCAAGATAATGATGCTTCGGATAAAAATTGTGCTGTTGAATATACGGGTGCATGGTGGTATAAGCAATGCCATAAAAGGTGAGAATGCCAAATCTTTTACATAAAAAGTATTATATAATCGATTTTTTTGCCTATTTGCAGTAACCTCAATGGACGTTATATTAAAGGCGGCAAAACCACTGTTTTTGCCCAAGGCGTTAATTGGGATCCATTCAAGGGGTTTTATTATTCCTTAAAAATTGTTGAAATGATTTTGCGTCCAACTTAAATAGTAATGGAATGTTGTTTGTGGCTATTTGGCAATTAATACAATTTTAATAACTATAGTCTTATAAAATGGTATTTAATACTTTGTATTAAAAAACAAGTAAAAACGATGTTAATTTCGGCCCAGCCTTCCAGCATTGGGTGGAGTTTTTATTAAATTTGTCATTCCGTTTGAAACACCTTGAAATATTTAGCTGAGACCCCAGAAAGTTCATATATATTCTATGTTAATTTACGCATGTCCGTCTGTTGATATCACGATTGAAATCGCAATATTTAAGATAGAGTTCTGATTTGCACAGACATTCCTAGTACTTCTAAGATGTTTGGTATTAGATATGCGATATATCAGTCCACCATATAACGGTATTACCCAATTTTTTTTACCAAATTATGGAAAATTTCGATGCATTTTCCAACCGAATTGGCTATAATTTTGTTCTCATTGAATATCAAATATCATTGCCCCATTTTTAGGGTAGCCCCCATATGACACTACCATCAATACTCGGTATTTTGGACAGCTTTTCCAACCGAATGATTTAAATTTGTATTTTAAGTTCTTGTTTCCTAAAAAATATTAATATTTACCTTTTTTAAGTATTATTTATTGAATCTTTCATATAATGAAAATAACAATAAGTATCTTATTCTCAAATCAAATCTTATTCCCCGCTTATTGGTCACATTATATTGGTATGCCTTTAGGCGTTTGCTTTGTAAGATAGGCAGCAATCAATTGGACGTTAAGGTCTTTGTGTATATTTGAATTTTTATATACCACGGAGGACCTGACATTGAGCGAAGTATAATAGATTGTCTTCTTTGTAGTTCATTTATATTAGAATCACTTTCTGTTCTCCAGAGTTGTGTTCCGTATGCCCATATGGGTTTTATGATAGTCTTGTATAAAATAACTTTGTATAAGAGACTGAGTGTAAAGCTTGCATTTCTGTTTTTACTGCTCTACCATATTTATTTGGAAGGTTATATTTATGCGGACAATTTTCTACATAGGTCTATGTTTGGACATATCCCCCATTTGAAGATTATATCCTATTTGTGTCCTTTAAGGATTATAACCTTTTCCCGACGAAGTGTAGGTCCATCTTTTGACATACTTATTTACTTAGCTGGCTTGTTACAGAACGGTTGTTCCATAAGCCGAGCTTAAAAAAGATTTCCAAGCGCGTCGGTCTTGTGCACAAGTCCAATAATTTGGAAGACCACGTTTCAAGTTGTTGTTTTCTACTTGGTCTTTCCATCTAATTCGTGGCCTTCCCCTTCTACGGGAACCATCAGTAGGCTTATTTTTATATGCCTTTTGAGCTGGGGCATTTTCATTCATGCGCACAACATGGCCTAGCCACCGTAGTCGCTGCAGCTCAATACGACTGACTATGTCGATGTCCGCGTATAAATTGTAAAGCTCGTGGTTCATTCGACGCCGATATTCACCGTCGACGCAGATCGGTCCGTAGATCTTTCGGAGAATTTTTCTCTCAAACACCCCAAGAGCTGCCTCATCTGCTTGCGCAAGTACCCATGCCTCTGATCCATATAATAGCACGGGTAGTATCAGCGTCTTGTATAGTGTGAGTTTGGTCTGGCGGGAGGTGGCCTTGCTTCTAAACTGCTTACTTAGACCATAGTAGCATCTGTTGGCCATCACAATCCTTCTCCGAATTTCAAAACTGATGTCATTCGTTTTATTTATGGTATATAAAGTCTTTCGTTTTATTCCAAGGTATATAAAGTCTTTAACTACCTCGAAGCTGTAGTTCTCAAGTTCCACAGTTGGTCCAAGTCTACTGGACGTCTTGCGCGTTGATACCATCAGCTTTGTCTTCTCGCCGTTTACTGCCAGACCCACTTTATATGCGATGGGAAGGAGACTCATTCCTCTATAGTTGGCACATATAGTCTTGTCTCCTTTTTTGTGCACGGGACACAGGATGCTGAGGTTCCAATCATTGGGCATGCATTCATCTAGCCAAATTGTGCTAATCAACTCCTGACCAGCATCTGGCCACCAGGCTTGAATAGTTCGGCTGGTAACCCATCGGCTCCTGCTGCTTTGTTGTTCTTGAGCCGATTAATTGCTTTTATCACCTCATCGCCACTATTTGATACTAGTAGCTTTTCGAAATGCTCCTTCCAGATCCTCAACACGCTGTCTGTATCTGTCACCAGGTTTCCTTCTTCATCTCTACAGGAGGTTGTGCCTGCACCAAAGCCTTCGGTTTGGTGTTTTACTCGTTGGTAAAATTTCCGGACTTCATTCTGACTCCTGTACATCTCGATTTGCTCACGCTCACGTTTTTCTGAAAACACGTTTCTCCTCTCTCCTTTTCTCCCGATAATTCTCCATCACGTTACGTGTTGCTACTGTCTGCAGGGTTGCCCTATACGCTGCGTTTTTCACATCAGTAGCATTACGACACTCCCGATCGTACCATGGGTTTCTTGGTGGTAGTTTTTGGTACCCAATTGTTCTTTTTGCTGCAGTTTGTAGGGAGTGGGCAATTCTTTGCCATTGTGCTTCTATACTATTATCGGGACAAGAAGTGCTTTCTTCAAGCAGATGGGTAAGTTGAGCGGAGTAGGCCTCGGCTACCTGTTGTGTTTGCAGCTTTTCGACGTCGAGTTTCCAAGTTGTATTAGATCGCACCTTTGCTGCTACATTAAGACGGGTGCGTACCTTGGCTTCCACAAGGTAATGGTCCGAATCGATATTCGCTCCTCGGATCGATCGGACGTCTAAAACACTGGATGAATGCCTTCCGTCTATCACAACATGATCAATTTGATTTCTCGTTACTTGATCAGGAGAGATCCAGGTGGCCTTGTGTATATCGAGATGCTTGAATCTGGTGCTGCTAACTACCATGTTTTTTGCTGCCGCGAAGTCAATCAACCTCATGCCGTTGTCGGATATTTCTTCATGAAGGCTGAATTTTCCGACGGTGGGGCCAAAGATATTTTCCTTTCCGATTTTTGCATTAAAATCTCCTAGCACAATTTTAATGTCATGGCCAGGGCAACGGTCATATGCTGTTTCTAGGCGCTCGTAAAATATGTCTTTAGACTGTTCATCTTTATCTTCGGTCGGAGCATGGGCGCAAATTAGGCTGATGTAAAAGAACTTCGCTTTTATACGGATTATAGCAATTCGCTCATCTACTGGAGTGAATCTGGAGACGAGGTCTTTTATTCTCCTGTTAACCATAAATCCGCAGCCAAATTCATGTCTCGTTTCATGGCAGCTATAATACAGGGCGTAATCGTCTGATGGAAATGGCTACAATTTGGTATTCGGGATTCCCGATGAATAAAGAACTCATTTCTTCTTTCCGATTTAGGTTCAGAATTTTACTTCGATCTTAATTTGGTTTTTCATTTTACCTAATAAACAACCTACTAGCAGGCGATGCTATAGTAGGTGAAAATAAAAATGCTAAAAAATGTGCTAGGTGCTAGATCAATTTTTTTGGTTCTATGCGAGATTTAAAAGTGCTAAATTGGCAACACTGGTGAACGGGTAGAACTGGAGTCCATAAACTTTTGTGGCCCAATGTTGCCCACAGGCAACAACATGTTTTGACGTTATATTTAATATGCAGCTAGTAGATATATATCCTTTAGATTTCTTATGTCAAGACCTGATTATGGACGACGCATATTAACAGAAAAATCGAAAAAAGTCAATTTTTTTGGTAAAGTTATGAGCTTTTCAAGAAAAGAGGGCAAAATTGTGTAATTTGTGTATACAATCGTGTATAAATCGTTTCGTATTCGAATTGTACGAATTCGCCAACATAATTATTTTTGATTCTTGTAAAAAAGAATATAGAGAATAATTTATTTTTTAATATTAATATTGGAGTGCATGACTGAAGTAGTTTTGGAAACTAGTGCTTATGGGTACGAAAAGTACTATATTTGGTACAATTTGGACATTGGTGAACGGGTAGAACTGGCATCCAGAAAGTTTCCACTAAGATTGCTATCGGAGTGTAGTATTGTGATATTTTTCGAATGTGGGTACGAAAAGTACAGAATGGTACCAAATTGGGTACAATTTAGATGTTAGTGGACATATAGAGCTGGAATTCTTAAATTATTTTTTCATAAAATAACTTTAGTTTTGTAACAAAAAATGTTTAATTCCCCCAGAGATCTCCAAATTTCTACTCAAGAGGAATGTAAACATGTTAAAAAGGGTTAAGTTCGGCCGGGTCGAACTTTGGATATTCTCTACCATAGATATACTGACAGGAACTTGAAATAAAAATAAAGGGAAAATACCAAAACGTGGATCTATACCGAAATTTCTACAAACCCATTCTGTAAACCACAATCCAAATTTCAGAAATTTTCAATACCCTGAGGTTGTATACACGTTGACACGGTGAAAATGTGCCTAATCGAAATATTGGTTCTAGACACCATGTTTCTTTGGACCAAATCCGTTTCAGAAAATTTTGATTTCATCCAAACTTTGGCCATCTAATTCTTTTTTCTAAACTTCGTTCAATTTCGAAGATGGGGAATATCGGCCCACTCCTTCACCACACAGGGGCTACGCCCAAATGCGGATTATAGTTCTTATATAGTTCATTACCAAACCTTACGTTAGAACCAAACCAGGATGAAAAACGCTCTCAAGAACTCCAAAATACCGAAAATTGGGTTTAACCGTATATATGGGGGCTATCGGGAAAAATTGACCTATATTCATATTTTTTGTAAAGAGATATGGTACCTATTAAGAACTCAAAATACTAAATTACAGCCAATTCGGTGGAAAAAAAGGATCAAAACCCCCAAAATACTGAAAATTAGGGTGTACCATTATATGGGGGCTACCGGAAAAAGTACATATATTTATAATTTTTTGTGGAGACATTTCAATGTACCAAATCTCAGTTGAAAAACGCGCTCAAGAACCCCAAAATACCGAAAATTCGGGGTATGCCTAAACATGGACCGATATATCCC